CTTCTTTATTAATTTGTTGGAATACTTCAAAAAGAAAAACTCCACCCATCTACTGTTTTTAATGGCTTTATCGAAATTCACACCATACATTTCACCCATCTAAAGTGTACAATTCGGTGACTTTGAGGACATTTATTATGTGGTATACATGTCACCATGATCAGTTTTAGAACATGTCATGGGCAAAAGGCCACTTCCTTTGCCTCTCCCCACTCCCTGAAACCCTCCAACCTTAAGCAACTGCTAACCTAATTTCCGTCTCTGTGGATTTGCCTACCCTGGACAATTCTTATAATGGGATCATGCAGTGTGTAGTGCTCTGTGACTGGCTTCTCTCTCATTTAAGCATAGTGTTTTCTAGGTCCATCCATGTGCTAGCATGTATCAGTTCTTGCATTTTATAGCCAAATAATATTCCATCAAATGGGTATACTGCGTTTTGTTTCCTCATTAATTGATGAACATTTTGGTGGTATCTGTGTTTTTGGTATTATGAATAATACTGTTGTGAACATTCATGTACAGTTTTTTTTAGTGAGTTTAAGTTTTTATTTCTCTTGTGTATATACTTAGGACTAGAATTGTTGAGAAGTGCGATGACTTTGTGTTTAACTATTTGAGGAACTGCTAGGCCAGTGATGGTGAACCTTATAGAGACGAGTCCAAACTGCAATGCAAAACCCTCTTATTTATCATAAAGTGCTAGCACTGCAAGTAAAACTGAATACTGATGTTTCAGTTTAGAGAAAACAATTCTGCACTAACATCTTTTGCCTTAAAAGCAAAATGCAATAGCAAGCGTGCCATAGGTTCACCACCACTGTTAGGCTATTTTCCATCATGGTTATATAACTTTTTATTCTTTCACTCATCAGCAGTGTATGAGGTTTCCAATTTCTCCAACATTTATTATTATGTCTTCTTTTTTCTAACCATCCTAGTGGTATCTGTGGTTTTGCATTGTATTTCTGTAATGACTAATAATGTTGCATATCTCATGTGCATATTGGCTATTTGTATATTTTAAGTGAACTCTATCCTTTGGCTGTTTTTTAGTTAGGTCTTTGTCTTTTTATTGTGGGATTATAATAATTCTTTATTCTAGTTAAAATGTCCCCATCAGCTATAGTTTCAACCTTCTATATCCATGGATTCAATTGTGGACCAAAACTGTTTCCAAAAATTGCGTCTGTAGTGACTATGTATATACTTTTTTCTGTCATTATGTTCTCAACAATGAAATGCAACACCTATTTACATAGGATTTGTATTGTATTAGGTATTGTACATTATCTATAGCATATTTAGAGTATACGAGAGGATTGTCTAAGTTACATGCAGATACTACATTGTTTATGTGGGGACTGGAGTCAGTATGGAGCAGATGTAGAGGGCTGACTGCTTTCTTCTGCTCTGGGTTGCACTTTCTTGATGTCTTTGAAGTATAAAATTTTATACTTTGATGCCTAGTTCAGTTTTTCTCTTTTTGCTTATACTTTTGGTATAAGTAAACCATTGCCTAAGGCCATGAAACAATGTGCCTCTTTTATTCTGAGAATTTTATAGATTGGATATTTTTGCAAAATAGTAGACATATATATAACCTTAAAATCTAAAACTCTTCCTAACCAGGGTCTTCCAAACAAATTGATAACTCACACCAGCGCGATTTAGGTTAAGATATAAACGAGGAACACAATGTGTTCTTTAGGAATTTAAGAACTTGAAGATTATTCAGATTTGAATTCAGGTATTTGGGAAGTGATATGCTTGTATTAAACAACTATGCTACATTTCTGCTGCATTAAGTTGTTTTGAACAATTACACCTGAACTATCTTTGATTTCATTCAGCAAAATGTATAGGGTGAAAACAGAAGAAAACATGCCAGCCAGTTAGGTGTTCGATAATGCATGATTCTCTTGCTCTGAAAGCTTATATGGGGTGAGGGGGCAAGAAAAGTAACTCAAGATTTAAAAACTGAGCCTCTTGTGTGGTTTAAAAAGAAAAAAACAAAACAAAACCGAGTATCCACTAATTTGCTCAGACATAGCAAGCTTAGTGTTCTTGTATCTCATAAAGTTAATGACTTTTATTGTGGAAGAAGGAAAACATCCACTACCCTTTTCCATAACTTAAATAGAGGGCAGTAGACATTTCTTTATGCCCAAAAACTATGAAATGTGACCAAGGTAAATGTAGAATGGAGATGTTTTAAACTAGCTAGGACTCAGAAAATCTAACACGCTAAAATCATGACTGCATTTTGAAAGAAAATGTACAAAAACCAGTAATTATTTTGAGATTTTTCCTTTGAAAGTAATTGTACTGCTTCTAAATTCACAAATATGCTAATTTAAATACCCAATCCTATTTTATTGAAAAAACACATTGCAAACATACAAATACTTCTTTCCACATCAGTGCCCATTCATATCATGGTTTGAAATGGGGGAAGTAGATTTATTCCACTTAATCTGCAAGTCAGTAGGTGTTTCTTTACAATTAACTTTTGCAGAATTCCTACAAAATAGTAATTAACAGTGATCTTGTTAGCTCACAAGGAAACACCTTCAAAACTGCATTTTATTAAATTTTTTGTACTAAAATGTAGAAAAACTGAACTATACAAATACTGAAAAATTAAATATTCCATAATTTTTTATTCCTGGTACCACTACCACAGTTTATAGGGCAACATTCCTGATGTAATGAGAAAAAAAAAAAAAAAAGACAAAGCTACAAAAGCTAAAAGACCTCGGGATGTGCATCTAATCGACACTACCTTGTATTAATCAGTAGCTGCGCTTTTGCAGACGGCGGCTGTGACAGTCCTGAGCCAGAAGGGTTCCCAGTTTAAACTGCAGTAACTTTTCTGACTATGGATCATTGTTCCCTCTGGGGAAATTTTTGCAGTTCCTCTAATGCATTTGGGATGACTGTCTCAACCCACAACTCTCCTGATAACTCCTTGCTCTCCTGCTAAGAACTATAGCCCTTTTCTGTTGGTTTTTAAAACCTTTTGCTACCATATCCACTACTTCTACCACCAGATCCGTAACCACCACCATAGGGACAGCCAGAGCTTCTTCCACCAAAACTGCCCCACTTCATGGGTCCATAACTTGATTGCTGTTGACCACTATTATTTCCAGAGTCATTACAGTTCCTAACACCACCATAGTTACCACCACCAAAATTTCCTCCTTCATTGTGACCATCATACCATCCTCCTCCACCACCAAGTCCACCACTTTGGTTTCCATATCCTCATCTACCACCATCTACTACTGTAAGCAGGACCACTGCTATAGTTTCCACCCATCACCTCCAAATCCATTAAATCCACCATCACCTCCTCCATAACTACCTCTGCTGCCACCCCCTCCACCACCATAGCCTCTTCTTCCACCATGGCCAGAATTCCTTCCATCACCTCCAGACTTTCCTGTGCAACCCAGAAGGTTGCCAGATCCACCTCCACGACCTCTTCATGATCCAGCAGACTGTATTTCTCATTTAGAAAGGGTCTTTTCGACTTCACAGTTATGCCCATTAATAGTGTGGTATTTCTGAACAATTTTATCAACTGTATCATCATCATCAAAAGTTATCAAAGCAATCCTCTCTTTTTCCCACTCTGCCTGTCTTCCGTAACTTCTATGGTTTCAATCTAGCCAGAGTAGTCTCTCAAATTATATTCTTCTGTATCTTCTTTAATTCTATCAACAAAAATTGTCTTCCCTGTTAGATGGGCACCAGACCTTACAGAATCCTCTCTAGAAACATCTCTCTTTGGTTCCACTACACACCCATCAACTTTGTATGGTTGAGCCCTCATTGCTGCCTCTACCTCTTCAATGTAAGAGTAAATAAAAAAACCAAAACCCCTGGATCATTTTGTTTGGGGATCTCTCGTTACTGCATGATCCTCAACTACTGTGGTTCCCCCACCCCCAATCCAGTGGCAGCTACAATGGCCAGAGTTGGGCTGGAGCTGACCAGGCAGTGGTTTTAGCTTCATTTTGAGACCAGACTCTTTATAAATTGGATTCTTACACTTACATTTCTGATCCATTTTGAGTTAATTTCTATATATCCTGCTACATAATACAATCTTTGGTTACCCATTGCTACATAAAAGCAGGATCAGTGCTGGATTCTTTCCCTTTATTCACCAGGTTTTTTTTTATAATAAGGAGTTGGTTCTTTAATCCTTGTGTGATGTTGTTTGTTTTCTTTGCAATGATGTCACTTTTACCTGAGGTGCATGTCTATCTGTGTTCTGTTTAAGTACTGATGAGCCTTTTTGCTAGTTATAGACTTCAGTGGTTTCTCCTTTAGTATCCCTCAACAAGATGTGAGAAAACCGCAATCACTAGGCCTATTTACAGGGCAGGAAGAGAAGCTTAAAGAGATATGATTTATTCCAGGATACACCTACTAATAAGGGGCAGGGGCAGGACTTGAGCCCTTGGGTCTGATCCATCTTTTGTGTTCCTGCTCCATCCGTGTACCATGGTTAAAACCCTGGGATAGACTGGAATTTAGATTCTAGCCCTGGCTTTGTGGCCTATGACCCACAAATGTCTTTTGTTCATTCTGGGCCATGGTTCCTTGTTCTGTGAAATCAGATGGCTGGAAGAGAGCCAATTCCAAAGAATGGGGCACATTTCCTAAGGTTGCCTGCATCGAGAGTCAGCCCAGGTTTTCCTGCATAGAGCCCCATCGTACCTCCATTCAAGATTGCCTGATTTTGGCAAAGCTTACCATCACATGTAGGAATTCATCCAAAAAAACAGTCTTTGTAAGGAGAGACTACCAAGGATTAAGAGTAGTTATCTATACTATTATACGATGTTTGAATTTAATTATGAGTTTGTTACACTTAAATTATTTAAATTTAAAAAATTACTCAGTTTAGGGAAGTATTTCAAAGTCTTTTTGTTTGTTATCCAGCTATCACACTTTGTCTTTTCCTCTACCCATTTGTCTTCCAGAAACATGCCAAAGGCCAGGATTTGTTTGATCAGATCGTATACCACTTAGACCTTGTGGAAACAGACTACTTTGGCCTCCAGTTCCTCGACTCTGCCCAGGTCACAGTATGTATTGCTTTGATTCTTTTCAGGACATATTGGCTTTTCATGCTAATTGCAGATCCACAGTTGCTAGAAATTGGTAGAGAAAAACAGAAGTAAAACTGTGATATTGTTCCAGTAACGTGCATTGGCAAGTGATGATGTGCATTTGAGTGAAATGCATCCACGCTACTTATAGGATCTGCCCTGCCTTGAGGTAGCCCATAACTAGAATTTACACATGGGGTACACTAAAGAAATACTTCAGAACATATAACACATTGTGGACACATTTCTAGGGTAGGTAGGAAGAAGAAGAAATATTATAGAAATTCTTCCAATGATGCTGCATTACCAACTTCTCACAGAGTCTTGCTGGTAGAGCGCGGGTACACTGAACACAGCTGAGTCCCAGCCAGGCTGCAAGGAGCAGAGGGCAGTCAAAACAAGTCACCTCCAGGAGGTGGTGATAAGTTATCACAGGTTTCCTCTGCTTTCCTGGAGGCAGAACTGTTTACAGTGAAGCTGCTAAAATGAGTGACCTGCGCATGTGTAGAACCACTCTTTTTCTAGTAGGCATTAGTGACTGCATAGTCTTCCTTCCCAATGTGATCTAGTTTTGGGTTTCAACGATAATTTATTCAACAGTCTAAAAATGTTTATGGAGTGCCTCTTATACATCGGACCCTATTCTAAGCATTGGGGATTAAGTGAGGAACATAGCTATAAAATGACAGGTGATAAAAAGAGTAAACAAACTTAGTCAGAAGGAGGGATGGGCAGAGGAGGAGTAGGTACTCCTTTAGACAATGTTTAGAAAGGTGAATCCCTGCAACAATATTCTATCTAGAGACCTAGAGCTGCCCACACCTGAAATATGCTTACCAGTTACTTCCTGGGGGACCACATATGACAAGTATAAGATGAAGCTGCTCGGAATTCGTGCCTGGGAATTGGGTCTCCCGGAGAATGTCAATGAGATGTTGGGACCTTAGGCCATAGAATAGAATGTAGACGTAACTGCCTCTGTCTGCAGTGCCTCCTGGGTGGGCCTCCCAGTAGGGGTGTGTGTGTGTGTAATATATTTCTTCCTACACACACACACACCAGGACTTCCTATTTTCCTCCAACAGATTCCTTAACCCCTATGACTGTCACTTCCTTGATTGCATGGTCTGTTTTTCAGGTAAAGATTCACTGCAGCCCACTGGGCCCTAGGGAGATGCATCCCAGCTTTTCCCTTTCTACCTCCCTGTCCAGTTGTGCTTCCTATAAGTTGAGCCACCCAGTGTCCTGCCCTCTTAACTTCACTGCTGTCCTTCACATCCCTCAAGGCCTTTGTGTCTTGGTTCTTTTCTTCCCCTAGGCAAGCTCAAGATTCAAGTTGCTGACCCTTCTAATATTCCAGACACTATTTCGTCTCATATGAGCTGGTGCTTCTCCTCCTTCTGCCTCTCTCTTCCTTTTTCCTTCCCACTACTCTTACCCTTTCCCCCTTCTTCTTTTGTCTGTGTGTGGTAACAGAGATTGAACCCAGGGCCTTCACACTGAGCCACATCTCCAACCCGTTTTTAATTTTTTGAGACAGGGTCTTGCTAAGTTGCTCAGGCTTAGGCTCAGACTTGTGATCCTGCTGCTTCTGCCTTCCATAGTGATTAAACCTCACGCAGATCCCCTGTAGGTCCTGGTGTCATTCCCAGACTCAGATTTCTGACATTTGTCATTGCACGATAAATTCCCTTGAGTCCATCCATCTTCCCTATGGTCTTGGCCCATAATCATCCAGCCTCCTCCCACCTGTGCCTTCCTTCCCACCTGCACCCGAACCTCTGATATCTCACCTATATTCTCATGCAGCCTTTGGTTCTCATCCCCCACCCTTAGCACACAGGCCCGTCTGTTCCCTCTGCTGCTTCCCACAGGCTGCCAAGTGTTGCTGGAGAGTCACAGCTATGCCTCCTGGCACCAGCACAGCACATGGGTTCAGCCAAGTCCAAGCCCCTGAGCTGCACTTCAAGCCTGGTTAGTCCCTGACAGCTGAGTGCCCCACAGCTCCCTTTCTGATTTGTGTCTTGTCCCCATAAAGACTGCCCTGCGTCTGGCCTCACCTGCTGAGAAGACCAAGGTCATTTAGCTGAAACTCCTTGAACTTTCTTGCCTTGCACCTCCAATTTCTCTCTGTCTATCCTGTCTCTGTCTTAAGAGAAAAGATCCACCTGCTTCTGCCTTTTTTTTTCTACACATGTATTCACAGTCTTGGGTTCAATTGCTTCCTGAGTGCCACATTCAAAGACCCCCTCTGTCCTCAGCATCTCCCAGCTGCCCAGCATCTGACACTCTTCAGCCCTTCTCTCCCTTGAAGCTTCTCTATTCTGTCTTCTGTGTGTCATAAAACATATGCTGGTTTTGGTTTTGAAATATCTGCTGCAGGCCCTTTGGGTGCATGTCTCTGGCCTGGGCCCTGTGCCTTGCTGTGCCTCTGACTCCTCTAGTGGGCTCATATAGAGACACCTTCTCTCCCTTGGCCTCAAATTTGACTCTGAGGTTGTGGGGGAGGCCAGCATGCCAGGCCTGTGTCTCCACTAGTTAGAAGGGAGAAGATAGGTACTGTTTATGCCCTTAGAGCCAGTGTCTGCTGCCTTGCTGGCATGTCCTCATCCCCAGGTGACCCTCCCCCTAGCCACTTGGCTTCCCAGAAAGCCCTGGATGTGACCCCGTTATAAAAGACTTTTCTGTGATCTTCTGCTGTCTTGGCTGGCAGGCTTTCCCACCTGCCAGTGCTTTGTCACTGTGCAGTAGGAGGGATGTTCACAACAGGACCCAGGCCATACACCTGCAGGTGCTCAGACTCTGCAAGTTCTGAGACTTGCTAGTATCTTGCTTTATGGATGTGAAAGAATTTTCCTCCCTGCAAAGGCAAGTGTGGGATCCTCATCACCTTAGAGTCAGAGGATGTAAGAGTATGCAGCAGAAGAGACTACCAGGGCCTTTCTTATCATCCCAGTCTTTGATCTCTCAGCAGGCATCATTATAGGTTGGGTCCTGATGACCAATGTGCCTTCTTCTCTGGGCCTTTGTGTGAACCCTGGAAGGTCCATCTTCACCCTCCTTCAAGGTTATCGCAGTTGGCCACCACTCGTGAAGCATGTCCTGAGCACCCAGCATCTTTCCTGTGTAAACCTCTGACCTCATTTGCCTGCTGTGGCAGCTTGCTTATATGGCCTCTGGTTGCTTATTTGTCTGTGTAAACATATATCAACCAATGACTAGATCCTAAGGTCCAGGACTTCCTCTTCTTAACTTGGTGGTTCTTGGGCACAGCACACAACATGGCTCCTCTTTCTTATCTCCAGAATGACTCTTAAGAGAGGTATCTGCCAAATCTCTCTGCCTTCTAAATGGTGAAACCAAAGTTGTTGTATTTTGGCAGGTCACAGTGAGGAGTGTGCTGGCTTGGGCTTTGCAGTTTCAAGCAGATGTGTTCATTCCTCAGTGCTTCTCTCTGTAATGTGTTGGTAGCAACATCTGTCTCACAAGGAAATTGAAGAACGCAGTGAGTTCATGAAGAAGAAAAGGTTTTATAATCTGGGACATAGGTGTGAGTCTCTGTTTTAGTCGATTGTGTGTTGCTGTATAAAAAATGTCTAAGGTTGAGTACTTTATAAAGTAAAGAGGTTTATTTAGGTCATAATTTTAGAAGCTGAAAGTTCAAGATTGAGTGGTCTCATCTGTTTGGCCTCTGGCAAGAGCCTTCTGACTGTGCCATAATGTGGCAGAGAAATAGAAAGGGACACAGCTGTATGCAGAAGGGGCCATGTGTATGGGCTGGCCTCAGTTTATAACAGCCTGCCCTCTCGAGAACCAGTCCCATCCTGTGAGACTTCAGTCACTCCTCACAGACAGTGTGAGGGTCGAGCCTCCGTAACAGCCTCCTTCCACTAGGCTTCACCTCTCAAAGCTTCTCCCATCTCGGCACCACCACGCTGAGGACCAAGCTCCCAGCACATGAACCTTTACGGGACAAAGCACATCTGGCCCACAGCAGGGCACTTCCGCTCTCTCTGGGCAAGCCGATGAGGGACCAGAGTCATAGGAGGGCACACTGAGAAGGTGAAGTTGGCTGCAACCTGTCAGCCCATGTTGCCTGCAGGAGGACTCTTAGCAAATTTAAGCCAGGGCCCTTTGCGAAAGTCTGCAGAGATGACTGGTTCGGGGTCATTGATTTTCACAGGGCCTGGGAGGTAATTGGATGTCATGGGAGGTGTTTCTGGGGAGCGTAGGGTAGAAGATGGGAAAGGAATGGTTGGCTTTGCTGTTGGATTATTGCCTCACAATTCAGGCTCCTGCAAGTATTTATACCCACACGTAGCCCCTGACGTGAGGATCAGAGGTCTGGGGCTGACCAGCAGAGCTCTTGGCATGGCTCTTTGTGTACCCAGCTTATATCTCCAGCTCAATGAAAAGAGCCAAGCCTCGTTTCCATGGTGCCCTGCCCAGCCCCGAAATGCCTGTTGGTATCACCTATTTTTAGCAGTTGGAACTGAGACCTCCTGCTTCCATGTTAAAGAGGGAGAGGCCATCCAGGGACCCACTCTCTAGATCGTACTGGTATAGCTCAAAACAGAGACAGTGTGCGTTTTTACATATCAAAGGATTTGGGGGTTTTGTTTTGTTTTTGTTTTTGTTTTTTGTTTTGTTTGAGAGTCAAGGGCTCTGGCCTGCGCCCTCATCCTCCTGGCTTTCACACTGCCTAGTCATGAAAGCTGCTGTTTTCTGTGTTTCCTCCAACCCCTAGCCAGGCACTGAACTACAGGCTTTGCATAATTCTTATTTAACATTCATCCCATATCTGTAAAGCTGGCCATAAAGCAGACCCTTTTTACAGGTGGCCGATTTGAGGTTCAGAGGCATTAGGAACCTTGTAAAGGTTTAAAGTAAGGACAGAGCAGGCTTCAGAATATGGTATCCTTCCAAAGCCCAGCACTTTCTGCTGGACCACACTGGTTCCATTCCATGGTTGTCAT